CTCACTGCCCTAGCCCCTGGCTGCTTCCCCAGCAATCCAGAGTCCCGGGCTTGAACTGGAGTGGGAGTGGTGGCCACCCCCTCCCGACGCGTCCCATTGTGTGAGCGGGAGGCGCTGGGCGGAGGCTGGTGCCGGCCCCCCGCGGCTCCCAGCTCTGTAGGGGGCGGGGCGGCCCCGGAGCAGTCAAGGCCAAGTCCCGCTCGGTCCCCAGAGCGCAGTCCGAGCGCGCGAGGTCCAACACTCTCGACTCCCGTTTGGGAATTTGGCGGCTTTGCCCGCGTTCCCGGGGCGCCGAGTGGCTGCGGGGGGGGAACCCGCTCAGTGGCGCGGGCCTATAGTCCTGTGGGTGTGTGGTAGGAGTCGGTCACCGCTCCAGGGGACGCGATTCCAGCAGTCGTTATAAGCTATTTGGGGAAACTCGGGGTTTTGGTGACTCAGCGCGGTAAGCGCTATTTATAAGTTGATGCGTTACTAGCAGGGCAATACCCTTCACTCAGATACGTCCGCCGAAGGAGGGCAAAGAGCTCGGTTAAGAGATAACTAAAAAACTTTTTTTTTTTTTTTTTTTTTAAGAAAAAAGGTTTGACTCTTAGAGCCTATGCTGTAAGACACAGCAGGTCTCACGAGTATACTAGTCAGAACACGTTTTCTCTCAAAAAGTTGGAACATCTTCCAGGGTAGATGGAGAAGTTTAGGGACACGTAGTGAGGGTAGACTGTTCTGGTGCTGCGTGAACCAGGAGCAATAATACAGATATATGACCCAGCAGCCCTCCTAGCAGGTTACAAGATACCAGAACTGCATTTTTACAGGATTCCTTAAATAATAGACCTAACACATTGCGGTGGCTAGGCATAAAATAAAGGAAAACTGGATGATGTTGAAAATTCCTATACAATATTCTGTAACAGGAAGGTGTGTGTTGTATTTACCATCAAAACTGCTGACAAATATAAATTACACGTTTACCATCCAATTTCTTCCCAGAAAGTACTGTAAAAATGTATATTGCAGCCTGGAGTTTTACAGTGTGTAAGTGCTGCAGAAACAATTATCAGTCCTTGCTTGTTTTACAGGCTTTATGGGTTTTATTTTTTTCTTTTCTTCCATCCCCCCACTCGCCCCCACCCCAGTTCGGAAATCCAGGGGGTAAATGCTAAAAAAGAGCCAACAGTTCATACCCAGCTTGCCTAGCCACCCCCCAGTTTTTTGTAGGTAGCAAGATCTGAGGTGTTTCATGAAAGAAAGAAGGTGGTCTCCTGGATGGCCAGTTAGGCCAGCTAGGAAAGGAAGGGGCTTCCTAACCTGAGAGAATGAAGCAGAATGTATAAAGGCCTGGAACTACAGAGAGAAGTACAGGACAAGAAGGGAATAAAGACAGATGAGAAAGGAAGCCGGACAGAAGGCCAGAGGAGTCTGACCTTTATCCTGAGAGCTACAAGTTTTTAACCTTTTTGTAGACACAAAGCCTTTTGAGAACCTATGGGAAGCACTGTGGCCTCTCCAGAAAAATGTACCTATAGACCTATACTACAGTTTTGCATACATTTTCAAGGGGTTTGTGAGTAAAGCACTATTGGGCCTCAGGATTAAACCTATAGGAAAGGGAGAACCAAGAAAGGATTTTTTAATGGAAATGCATGGTCAGGTGTGAAAAGATTAGAGGTCTTTGAAAAGATTACATTGGCTGGGGTCCTGGAGACTTGAAGATGGAATGTAAAACACCCTGTAATCTAAGTAAGAATGGACTGGGACCACTGCTGTGTGCCTAATGACAGTGGGAATAGAGAGAAGAGGGAATCAAGAGAAGTAATTAAAATGAATTGAAATGGGAAACTGATTGGTTGTATGGGGCAAGGGCAGGAGATCCCTAGGTTTCTGGTCCAGTGTGTGGACTGGGATGGGGAGTGGGCCTTAGGTCCAGGAGGAGGAACCCTCTTTTGTCCCTGTGGAATTTGAGCTATCAGGGAACTGGCCCAGGAGGGTTGGAAGTAAAGTCTGGCTCTCTGGAGTCAATAAAATGTAGATGGTAACTGAAGTCATGGGAATGTATAAGATGAACCAGAAAGTGTGCAAAGTGAGAAGAGGTCTGAGAAGAGAACCCTGGGGAAAGCCCACATTTAGGGGAAGGGGAGGAGCCAGAGGAAACTTTCAAGGGCACTGATGAGTGACTAAAGACTGAATGGTGTCCTTAGTGTATAACTTTGGTCAGTAAATCCTGCTTCCTTGATAAAGAATGAAAATATGTTGCAGATTTAGTCCCTTCATAAGATTGAAAAGTCTATATTCTTTCGGGGGGGGGGGCACCTTTCCAAAGATTTTAATTCAGAAGAGAGATGAGGGCAGGAGATGATTAAATCTTGCTTTCCCCTCTTTTTTGAAACTAGGGATACCTAGGGGAGAAGAAAAGGAGAAATAGACTCAAGCTCTTTTCCCTGCTCAGACACTAAGCCTTCAAGGAAAAGGAGTTTAGATAAGTCCTCATTATGGTATTTTTTTGGTTCCTGACGGCACTTTAAAAGCATACTTAATCACCAACAATTAGAACTAGGAGGTGCTAAGGTCTCAGTCTGGCTAAGAAAACAAGAAAAAGTGGAGGGAAAGCGTTTTCTTTTGCTTCCTCCATCTCCTTCCTACTTGTTACAGCTAACCTGAGCTAGAACTAGTCCCTACAAACATGGACTCAAGTACATAACAAACCACCCCAGAACTTATTCATTACTTTACTTGAATATGCAATCTGGGTAGGGCTCTGCAAGGATAGTTTGTTTCTAATCCACTTGGCCTCATCTGGGGCAGCCCATAGGCTGGAGGCTGGCATCATCCAAAGGCTTAGGCTTGTTCACTTACATGTCTAGTGATTAGTACTCACTGATGACTGGGACCTTAGCTGGGACAATCAGGTCAGAATACCTACACAATGACCTTTCCTTATGGTTTGGGCTTTCTCACAACGGGGTTGCTGGGTTCCAAGTGTCCCAAGACTGAGAGACAGGTAAAGCTGTATCATTAGAAGTCATGCAGCATCATATCCATCACATTTGATTCGTTAGAGAAAAATCACTAATGCCATACATATTCTAGAGAGGGGAATTACACTCATTTTTTAATGGAAGGAGCATCAAAGAATTTGCAATGTGTTTAAAATTATCACACGAATTAACTTCAGATAAATAGATTTATAAACAATATATTGTATATTAAAAATGTTTAAACATAAGAAACCAAACATCCTCTTTTGATATCAGAATGAGATACAAAAACTCAAACATTCCATTGTTACAGCAAAACTAATTCTAAACCAATCCAAATAGGCCGTTTGTCTCATAATCTTTCCTTCTTCTCTCTCCTGACCATTCTCCCCACTCCAGGTCAGGCCTCCTATACACAGATACCCCTCTCTCCCAAACCAGGTAGGATCCTCACTGTGGCTATACCTCTAAAGCGATAATCAGGTCCTAAAAGTTTTTCCCTGAATTATCCCTGACTTTGTACCTTACCAGATCATTGGGAAGGCCATCAGTGACATGTCTTTACTTCTCAGAGTTAAAAAGCAAAATGCTATAGGGGGATTATTCCAATATATAATTTTATAACAAATTCATTTTACATAATTAAAACAAAATGACATTTCTTTAAAAGGGCTATATGTTTTTAGATATCAGAATCTTGACTTAGGCTTGTTTATTCTTAAAACTCAGTAATTCTAAAAGGGATGGTTGAGATTTTAGGTATTTTATAAGAATTTTTATGTTGCCTTGAAGGTGATATACCACTTGATTATTATAATACAAAATTTAAATGACCCTTCTTCCATGTTTATAATGCACATTGCATTATTTTTCTTTAAAACCAGTACACAGAATTATTTGGTTGGTAAAAAGGCTCAAGAGGTATCTTAGGAACTGAAAATACTACCTTTCTTTGAGTAATCACAATAAAACAATCTTTACTTATAACCTAGTATCTTTTTAAATTCTCCTAAACTGATATTATTATAATTTATACATCTTTGATGTTCTCTTAAAAGATTTATGACTTAGAAATAGTGCTTTCTTGGCTTAGAAATAGAGTTTTATTTATTTTTATTTTTTTAATGACTATTCATTTGAGAGAGAGAGAGCGCGTGTGCGCACACGCACAAGCAGGGGGAGGGGCAGGGGAAGAGGCAGAGGGAGAGGAAGAGGGAGAAGCAGACTCCCTGCTGAGCGGGGAGCCTGAGACAGGGGACTCCATCCCAGGACCTGGAGATCATGACCTGAGCCGAAGGCAGACACCTAACCATCTGAGCCACCCAGGTGCCCCAGAAATAGAATTTTGATAATTCATACTCTCCTAAAGCCTGTCTAATACCTCTACACATTTTGGTCATTTTGCATAATTGTTTATAGTTATACTGAGTCAAAATGATACTGTGAATCCATAGTATGGAATACAAGTTTAAAAATAAGTATATCTAAATAATGAGCAAACATAGATTTATGAACCCTTTGTGTATTTCTTAATGATTTTAAAGAAGCACATGTGTTTTAAAAAACAAAATGAATTAAGTATATCTTTGTTTTTAAAGGTTCTTATCAGCAATGATTAAAAAAAAAATTGACACAGGGCGCCTGGGTGGCTCAGTTGGTTAAGCGACTGCCTTTGGCTCAGGTCATGATCCTGGAGTCCCGGGATCGAGTCCCGCATAGGGCTCCCTGCTCGGCAGGGAGCCTGCTTCTCCCTCTGACCCTCCCGCCTCTCGTGTGCTCTCTGTCTCTCTCATTCTCTCTGTCTCAAATAAATAAATAAAATCTTAAAAAAAAAAAAAAAAATTGACACAGTATTCGCATTAAGCTAATAGACTTTGTTATCAGGCCCCAAACTATTCCTAATTCTGTGGCTTCATAGCTACCATGGAGGCAGCCCAAAGGAGCTTAAGTAAACATTTTTAAATTATGTAATGAAGTTCTGAGGGAGGAACAGCCCCAACCAAACTGTATAGTACTATACTATATTACCTTTCTGGGGTCTTAAAAATGTCCAGATCTTTGATACAGTAGTTCTACTTCCAGGAACCAACCCTAAAGAAATAAATAGGAAGTCAAAGATTTATATATATTCACTACAGTTATCTATACAGAGGAAACAATCTGAATATTCAACAGTAAAGGAGTGGTTAAATGAGCCATGGTGCATCAATCATATGGAATAATATGTGATAACTAAAAGTACTTAATGCCACAGAAAAATATTAATAGTAATTTAATGTACAGTTAAATTTTTTAGGTTATAAGACTATTTCTCATTTATTTGAAAATGCACTTTTTTTTTTTTAAAGATTTTATTTATTTGACAGAGAGACAGCGAGAGCAGGAACACAAGCAGGGGGAGTGGGAGAGGGAGAAGCAGGCTTCCCACTGAGCAGGAAGCCTGATGTGGGACTCGATCCCAGGACCCTGGGATCATGACCTGAGCCGAAGGCAGACGCTTAAGGACTGAGCCACCCAGGCACCCTGAAAATGCACTTATTTATATGCATAGAAAAAGGATGGGGAAAAATATATCAAAGTGTGTTATATGTGGTTATAGTAATTTTACTTTTTCTTTTTTAAAATGAGCACATATTGGGCGCCTGGGTGGCTCAGTCGTGAAGCATCTGCCTTCAGCCCAGGTCATGATCCCAGGGTTCTGGGATCAAGCCCCACATCGGGCTCCCCGCTTGGCTGAGAGCCTGCTTCTCCCTCTCCCTCTGCCTGCCGCTCCCCCTGCTTGTGCTTGCTATCTCTCTGTCAAATAAATAAATAAAACCTTTTAAAAAAAATAAAATAAAAATTTAAAAAATGAGCACAAATTATTTTAACAAAAAAATCACTAAAATTAAAAGATCTCCTCCCAAATATGTAAATCAAATGACATATGTTTACATTCTTACAACTCTAGGATATTTAATAAAGTAACACATCATATTAGTTACTCTTTATAAGTACTTTTTCATTTTGTATACTTATAACAATATCTACCAATGAGTAATCTCTGCTTTCTAAAATTAAATGAGATAAGGTATAGGCAAGGAGACAGTATTCTGTGAATGGTATAATCTGAGAGGTAACCTTGGTGGAAAAGCTGATTTAAGAAAAATTTAGCATAGTCAAAATCCATCTGTAAAGCTATAATGGCTGGATCTATTTTATAAGTTTTCTAACAGTATGTTTAAAATTTTTTATTTTAAATTGTGGCAAAAAACACATAGCATAAAATTTACCATCTTAACCATTTTTAAATGTACTAAGTATATTCACATTGTGTATAGTAGTGTTTTTATAAAAATAATAAATGTTCATAAAAATAATACAGGTTTACTTATAAATAGTTTAAACAATATAGAAAGTTACAGGGATGTTTTAAAATCTCGGATTCCAGATTTTACCATCAATTTTAAATGAACATCATGGTAGGCATTTCTATGCATTTAAACAAATAAGATAATCTTATTTAAGATCAGAAAATGTACATTACATTTGAGTTAAAAGTATTAAGTTTAAAATTATTTTAATTTGGTAGTGGTAGGATAAACTGAAGGAATTGCTGAACTTTCAGAAAAATGTTTCTTTACTACAAAAGATCTTATTTCCTAAAATACCTGAAGTTTAAAAAAGAGTTTGGAGCCTTTTTAAATCTATGTTTCAAATTTAGAAATACTAGCAGACTCTGCTATGAAAAATGTATTTTTACATCATTATTTTTACAAAGTCAAGGTTTTAATGTTTATTTGTTTTATAATCCTAATTTCTTTGATCACTTGGTCTTGGTCTGTATCTTAATCCAGTGCTCACAACATAGCTTGATTCTCAATATCCTAGTTATTAATTTTGATTGATCAGTTATCTGTTCTTCACTGTTTTGTTTGTGGTTTTGGTTTTGGTTTTTGTTTTCTCCTCTACATGTATCCATGGATGCTGTGTTTGCCTTTTTCATCAATTCTCAAATGACACTTATTTAGATGTAATAGTTTGGGGTCATGCTGGCTTTGCCTCAAAACCGTACAGACGTTTTTCCTTTGTTTTCTGGCTTTGAATATTGCTTAGAGGAAGTCTACGGCCAGCATGATTTCCTCCCTCTTGATAAGTTATTTAGTTTTCTGCCTGGAGTTCTGAGAAGTTTTTCCTTCATTCTCTATGGTTAGTTGCTTAACCAGGATATGCCTCAATACTAAATATTATGTGTCCATTATTTTTCTGCAGGTTCAGGTCTTTCGTTACTTGGTGGAAATTCTCATCTGTTACATCTTTCTGTGCTTTTTCTGATTCATTTGTTGTATTATGTACTCAGGGAGACGAATCAGGTTTATTATGTTATCTTTGTCTCACTTACATGATTTTTGTATTGATTCTGCAGTTACTTTGGTCTACTTCTCTCCTACATTCACCACAATTTATTAAATTCATTTCTCAGCTGGAATTTATTGAGTGCCAGCACCAGTGGTAAATAAGATCATATTCCTGCCTTGATGAAGCTTTTAGTTAGGGATAGGGGAGGGAGAAATAAATAAACTTGTAACAGTGTCAGGTAGGAATAAGAAGAACAACCAGGTAAGAAACTAGAAGGATGGGGGAAGGAATTGTGCATTTTAGATGGAATGTGAGAGCAGGCCTCTCTCTGTAAAATGACACCTGAGAAGAGATCTGAATTAAGTGAGGGGGTAAGCCCAGGGAAAGACCTGGGCAATCCAGATGCAGAAAAGAGCAAATACAAAGGTCCTGTAGTGGGAAAGTGGTGTGTGTTCAAGACAGAATTATTAAAGCCAAATGAGTAACCAGAAAGTGGTGAGAGATGAGACTAGAGAAGTGGACAGGCCAGATCACAAAAGGGGTTGTGAGGAGGCTGAATTTTGTTCTAAATGTGATGAGAAGGAGGGAGATGATGTATGCTTCAGAGGAGTAATTCAGGTTGCTGCTAAGTATTTCAATAACAATAACTGAGTATAAAGAATCAGTCAGATAGGTGCTGTAGAACTGAAAATGCAAAAAAGGAGCACTAAAATAAGAGAGTAACTTCAGGAAGCAGCCACTACCCCTGATACTAGATAAACACAAGGAAGACCTGAAGTTTTTAGAACCCAGAAGCTAGAAGGGGAGACGCTGGAACCCTGGCCTCAGAAGACAGGTTGCTGCCCATTTGCTGCTGATACCTCTGACAGGGTATGTTCAGTATGTTGGGGCTGGTTCTAGGGAATGGAAAATAGTTGAAATTTGGAGCTGAGTGCCACTGTGACAGTGAAGGTCCATAACTGGGGCAACCCTGACGTGTGCAGAAAGCCAACAAGAAGGAGCAGGTTCTTTTCCCCTCTCTTCTTGACTTTCAGTCTTTCTCTAACACACCTTATTAAGAGAATGCAGCAAGGATTCAGCTGGCAAAATAGAAACGTAGTTTGCAGAGTCCCATCCTAGCATCACAAAATGTATGAGTGTGGAAGGATTTCTTATTAAGAGATAACAGGGGCACCTGAGTGGCTCAGTTGGTTAAGCGACTGCCTTCGGCTCAGGTCATGATCCTGGAGTCCCGGGATCGAGTCCCGCATCGGGCTCACTGCTCAGCAGGGAGTCTGCTTCTCCCTCTGATCCTCCTCCCTCTCATGCTCTCTGTCTCTCACTCTCTCTCTCTCTCAAATAAGTAAATAAAATCTTTAAAAAAAAAAGAGATAACAGCTTAGTAACCAGCACAGAAAGGAATTAAGGATGACTTCTAGATTTCTGTCTTGAGCAATGGGATGAAAGTAATGTCATTTATTGACCTAGGGGAAGACCTGGAGAAAAGTAAATTGAGGGGGAGAAGAAAATTACAAGATTGGTTTTGAATGTGTTAACTTTGAAGTCCTTGCTAGACATCTGAGTGCGGTTCCTAGGTAGGCAGTTGAGCATGAGTTCAGAGTTCAACAGAGATATGAGGGATAGAATACAAATTTTAGGAGTCCCAAGAACATCTGCAACATTAAAAAAGGAAAAAAAAAAAAACAACTTGATGAGATGACCCAAGGGAAAACAAATGTTGATGGAGAAGGAAAAAAGGGGTGAGGAATATGCCTGGGGTCCCAAACATTTGAGAAGAGAAAAATGATGTGGCAAGAAGTTAATCAGTGATTTCAACAAGCCCAGTTTAGGTGGGACTGTGGAAACGGTAATCCTAAATGGAATAGACTGAAGGGAAAATGTAAGGCGAGGAAGTGGAAACTGCAAGCACAGTCTTTAAAAAGTTTTATTATAAAGGGGAGTAGAAAAATGAGCTCACTCAGTAAGTAGAGGGGGAAGGGAGGTGATGATATATTTAGAATGGGAAATATTACAGTGTATTTACAGGTTAGAATAATCCAGTAAAGAGAGAGAAAATGAGAATGATGCAGGAAATGGAGGAAATAATCACAGGAACACAATCCTTGAGTTTACAAGAAAACATAGAATGGGGGCACAGGTAAGGGGCATGCCTTATTTAAAAGAAGGGATAGCTGATCCTTTATAAAGGAAGTATAAGTATAGATGAAGAGAGGTTGGTAGATAGGGTGTAAGAAAGATGAGTTTTTCTTGTGACAGCTTCTATTTATCAATAAAACAAGAGTTTGGGGTGACGAGTGGGGAGATGTGAGAGACTTAGGAGAAGAGACAAGGTGTAATCATCTAGGAGAATAGAAGAATGGATTGACTAGGGGAGTGTGCTGGGATTGCCAGTCTTCCCTTTTGTTGAGAATTTGATTTCCAGCCATCTTGATATTCCAAAGTATTGGTTTTGAAATAATAGTATTATTTTGGTCTTCATTGATTAGGTTGTAGACATTCTTTGTTTTTAAAGGAATTTTTACTGTTGTTTGTTTTTCCTGTATTGTAAGGTATTTGGAGTGGAAGACTTTGTGGTCTGCCTTTACTCCCCCATCTTTATCTGGAAGTCTAGAATAATGTTTTTAAATAGATTGCAATTCATATTTTTTCAGCTCACCCTATACATGGGAATTTAAGAGTAAGATGTCACAGTACTATTATATATTATTATAATAGCCACCATTTACTGAAGGCCTGTGTGCAATGCATGCTAAGAGACCTTACATACATGATCTCTAACACTTATCACAAGCCTACAAGGTAAGTGCTGTTGACAGTTATTTCCACAAGAAACCTTTTTTACTAGTTATGTCAGATCACAGAATCTTACCTGAAGCTCACAGCTGACCAAAATAAACAAGCACAAATTTTTCTGTCTTGTGTGTTTTTAAAAAATTAGCACATAAGAGACTCTTCTTTTTGAAATACAAAATAATAGTTTGCAAAAGTGCACCACACAAACTAAGAGCAATTTTAGGGACAGCTTTTTGACACTGTACTATATCATTAAACCCTTGGTGGGAGAGGTGCTACTTAACTGACAGATTCAAGGAACTTGGTAAATTGAGGTGCCCTTACTCTAACCATCTTCATCATCCACGAACATATTGAGAGCCTGCAATATTAAAATCATTACTAAATTATATTAAATCTTTATAATTTTACAACTTACAGGAGATGTATCAGCATTTGTTTTGGAAACTCCATAATTTGAATTTAAATAATATAAACTTTCCTGTTGGTCAACAATATTTATATTCATGTGATGACACTGAAAACATACCATTGAAACATAAACATATATCTATGACAAGTAATGGATTTTTTTCTGATTATAAAATTAGTACATGTAAGTGAAGAAAATTCTGAAGATATGTTTAAATAAGTAAAGAAAACATCTTTTTTAAAGGACAGCAGGAAAAAAATAACGAATAATTCTTTTATTTACAGGCAACTGACTTGAGTTTGACATATTTCCATGTAGTTTTTAAGCTTATGAAGTTTAAACTACTTGAGTACACTGCCTTTTTTCATAACAATGTATCAGAAATGTTTCCTCAAGTTATTTAAAAGTCCTCAAAAACATTTTCAATGGCTGCATAATGTTCCTTGAGTATTTCCTTAAGTGCTCATTTAAGCTATTTTCCTTAGTTTCTTATAAGTAGTATTGCTATGAACTTTTTTATGCTTAAATCTGTTTTAGCATTTCAGATTATTTCCTAAGTTAGGACAAATTCCTAGAAATCAGCTTAAAAGGCCAATATTTTTCAGGTTCTTCATCTGGTAAAAATTTTGCTGTAAAAAAATCTTTTCATTTTCTACATACTCATACTGAAAATAAAGCTAAGGAGAAAAATTTATGTGGACTACCTTTTAAAATTGAGACTAACATTTAAGTTTAGGTTCAGTGTTTTGGTTTTGGTTTTAATATCTTACCTTTAGGGAGAAATCCACTCTTCAAAATATTTACTTGTTTTTGTCAGGTTCAAAACTTACACTTAATTTGAGGATGTAAGTTTAAATATATACTTATTTCAGCCTAAGGTATCATCATCTCTTTTTTCCTATTTTCAGATATGCTCACCCAACAGTGTTGCCTCCTGACTCATCATCAGTTTAATCTCACATGTACACCACTAATTCATGGTACAGATGTACACATTCATCTGTGGATGGAAACCTAAATAAAATTGCAGGCCAAGGTCATTTCCAAACTAAGCAAACTTGGCACAAGAGTTTTAAGAGTGCCTAAATTAATACTACAAAACAGTTCTATCATTCTAGACTGAAATACAGAGCATATGAACAAAGCAGTTTCACCTAATTCTAAAATTAATTTAGACTGATGATGGAATTGCAAAACATGAGAAAATATCCAGAAGAAATCTAGTCTAAGTAAATAAAGGATTACTGTTTTTAGTAGCTATCATTTATTCATTCACTCATCAAATACTTACTGATTGGTGTGTCAAACACTTGCTAGGTGCTGGAGTCAACCAAAAAAAGATATAGGCCTGTCCTGCTGGAAGATATATTCTAGTGGAAAAGACAGACAAAAGCAAATGAATAAATGAATAGTCCTAAGCTGTAATCTAGGCCCGTCCACTACCAGTATTACTTAAGTGAGACAAAGAAATGATTTGGGTTCTACACCAAGAGTTTTTAAAGTTGTATTATTGAATAAGAAAAAAGTTAAAGATTTAGAATTATTAGGAAATATAGATATGTCCACATATAGATACCTCTACAGATCTTTTATGATTAGTCATTATCATCCCCTTATGCCCTGTACTCCCCACCCCCCTCCTGCCAAAAGAAAGGATAGATTAGGATATCTAGACTTTGGCTTTCCCTTCATTACTCTCTGGACTCTGGCCTGACCCAATCTCTGCTGTGGCATGTTATAGTAGAAAATAAAACATTCCAAATTCGGGGAGTAAGAAAACCTCAGTTTTAGCAAGTGACAGTGCTAAAGGGATTGAAATCTTAGATGAGACACTTCATTTCCCAGAGTATCAGTTTCCTTTGCAAAATGATGGATTTTGACTAAATGATCTCTAAAAATCACTTTAGGTTCTAAAATTCACTATCTATGCATCTTTCTGTTAAACATCTCTTCCATTATGCTATTTATATTGGGGATGAAGAGGAATAAGATCGATTCCTGTTTAATAGGGATAAAGGATTTATAGTTTTTAATGACCATTCTTTCATGTTATTGAATATTTTGTAAAACATGTTTTTAACATCTGCACAGCATTCCAACATATGGATATACCAAAATGTATCTATCCATGCCTTCATTCTAAAGATTTTTTTCCCAATTTCTGCAGTATTGTAAAGGATATTTTTTAAGATTTTATTTATTTATTTGACAGAGAGAGAGAGAACACAAGCAGGGGAGCAGGAAAGGGAGAAGCAGGCCCCCTGCTGAGTAGGGAGCCTGATGCACGACTCAATCCCAGGACCCTGAGATCATGACCTGAGCTGAAGGCAGACGTTTAACTGACTGAGCCACCCAGGCGCCCCAAGAATATTTTAGAATCTCTATTTGTCTACTTGTACTCAAAATACTACTACAGGCTTTCTTTTTTGTTTTATTCCTTTTGCTTGGGAAAAAAAATCACTATGATTCTTTCTTACCTACTCCAGCCTCTACATGGCTTTCTATTAATATAAAAACTCCACTTTGGACAATGTGATAGAGGCTGCCCTTTCTCCTCTCTAAAACAGTATCATCCCAGAATAAGGTCCATATTTCTGCAGCTTCCTGCTGTAAAAGAATTTGAAGTAAAGCCAATTCCATGCCTGCACCAAATCTGGATAATGTATATTTTAGCTTTAACCAAAGTTGAAATCCATGAGATTAAAACCCCAACAGCAGACAAATAGCTATACCAAAAATGTGATTTAGTGTGTTAATTACAACAAAGATAACTATGACTTTGGTGATTTTGCCATGATCCTGAACTTGCTATAATATTAGCTATTACTACATTGAAACATTAAGAGCAGAAATATACAATTAGGAAAAATAAAATTTAAGGTTTTAACTACTAAATTCAGTGAACAACTATATAATCAACTATTTCGTTTTTTACTTTTTTTTTGCAATATGCTATATTATTTCAATAGATATCATGTTCTGCATTAGCATTGGTACTTTTCCACCCATGAGTAAAGAAATCAGGTGACGCCTACTTTAAAATTACCCTAAAAAATATGAGTTAAACACCTTTTCAACTTAGAAGTTTTTATTTAGGAAAAGAATGGAACCTCTGTTGTGCCTCTTTGATTATGAATTGGTGCAAGTTAAATATCTTTTTTAAAAAAACTTCCAAGATACTATTAAGGACCTCTATAGAATCAGTTTGGAATCCAAAGGAACACTCACATTAACAATTATTTCTACCAATAGCTTCATAACTACTGACATATCAATTATGTCAATTGACATTATATCAATATTATAGTAGAATTTTAGTGAAAGGATCTTTGAGGTCACATAATCCAACTCTCATCTTACAGATAAGGAAAGTAAAAACCAGAAAATTTGTATTACTCATAGCAGTAAGCTTGGAGTGGGCAGAGGCAGATGAGGGATCCTAACACTCTCTTTCATCCTAATGCATACCAGAGGGTATTAGGTTATAAGTACAGTAGGTAGCTAACAGATGAACAAATCTAAGAAAGATATCTGATTTGTATCCTAAGTATACACATTCCCCTTAAGATTCTTGTTGGATGATCCATTCCACCTCAATCTGTTAGCACAGATACAAAATTATACAAATTGATGCTTGTGTGCAATAAAACCCAGGAGAGTAGTTGGAGTTAGTTTGGCAGAACTACATTGTTGCATAACTCCTGGGATGAAGATTGATGTATATCCATATGTATACATACCTGTAGCTTCTTAATGCTGCTTCAGGAAATGCCATTTACATACATTACAATGTAAATAGTGCCCAATGGAGTTGTGCATCATAGGGACACTGCAAATATAAGTTTTTATTTTAAATTAATTAGGGTAGGCTAATTGCCATACAGATCAACCCCAAAATGTATAATGGCTCAAATCATATTTGCTATAATCAAGTTTCTTGCTAAAATAAACAAATAGTTCAGTACTTAGTTTCCAAGGTGTTCTAGTACCTAAGCTTTCAATACCAAACTTCAGTACCAAACTTCTCCTGTGGGGTCTTGTCTATTCCAGCCCATTAGAAGGGGAGTTTTTTTAGGAGACTCAAAAGTAGTGCAATAACTGCCATTCTTATTCCATTGGCTCTAACTCGGTCACATGCCCACACCTGCCTGCAAGGGAGACTGGGAATAAGTTTATCTGTGTGGCCAAAAAGAAATGAGAACATGGATTTGGATGTTTAACTAAGAGTCATTGCTCACTTGGGTGCTCTCTCTCTCTCTCTCTCTCTCTCTCTCTCTCTCCACACACACATACCCACACAAACCCTGAAGTGGACACCAAAAGATAAACTCACATTATTAGGCTTCAAATAGAACAAATAAAGGGGCTTTTATTTAAGAATTGCATTCACCTCTACCCTTTCCCTCCTTCAGGTTGGGACTGTTAATTAATGCATAACAATAACCAATAGATAACTGACATCTGAAAAGGAGGATAAAAAGCAAATTTTTGTAAGTATTACCCTTGTGTGTGTGTGTGTGTGTACACGTGCATGCATGTGTTTCAGGGACACAAGACCACCAAGTTCCCCTTTTTAACTACACTATTAGTAAATGATGAAAAATATTCAGCTTTTTACACAACAAAGATAGCAATTCCACAAATGAAGGCAGCAGTAAAGTTAGTGGTTTTATTTCCTTTGGATAAGTTGTCATTATAATCCTCAAACTGTTCTCAATCACTCAGTTTTTTTGTTGTTGTTGTTGTTTTAAAGATTTTTTTTTTTTTTTTTTTAATTTGACAGAGAGAGACACAGCGAGAGAGGGAACACAAGCAGGGGGGGTGGGAGAGGGAGAAGCAGACTCCCTGCTGAGCAGGGAGCCCAATGCGGGGCTCGATCCCAGGACCCTGGGATCATGACCTGAGCCGAAGGCAGACGCTTAACCATCTGAGCCACCCAGGTGCCCCAATCACTCAGTTTTTAATAGAAGCACTGCATGGTTGCACTTCTCAAATCATAAACAGGAAGTGTAATATATAAATGTCAGTAAAACTAGAACTCAATTCTATGGCTTGATATTTTCATTTTAATGTCTGATTTTGTATGTACTTCAAATGATTACATGAAGGCAAATAGTAATATTACCTGGTAAGTTTTCTTTGGCAACCTAACACTTTGGGTTTTGGGGGAAATATTTAGAGTAACCCATGTGTTGTAGATTTTCACAGAGGAAGAAAGGGGAATGATCCAGAAACTGCTATTAGTTTGGCATCCTTAGAAACTGCTTTTTTATATATGTTGCCCAACTTTATTAATGCCAGAAGATAGTGTAGATGGAGAAAGAAGCCAGAGAGTGCATGACTCTTAATCTATTTAAAAATACATTATAGAAAATAGTCTTAGACTTTGTATATTCTTATTCTGACACCTCAGCAATTCCTCGAATGTGTTCTACTACATTAATTCCTTCATGAGACAACTAAGGAGTAGCTTAAGTACTGCAAAAATCAGGATATTATCTCTGTTTCCTCTCTGAAGAAATTAGGGGTCTTTTGAGGATTGGTGATATTTTCTACATAATACTATTTCAGTTTCTTTGCTACATGGACATCTCTATGGAAATTACAAGAAGAGATTCAGTGCTCACTTCAGCAGCACATATACTAAAACTGGAACAACACAGAGAACATTAGCATGGCCCCCACGTAAGGATGACACGCAAATTCATGAAGTGTTCCATAACAAAAAGAAAAGAAGAAGAGATTCAAATTGACTAGTCTAGAACTTTTATATTACATTAAATATGTCTGGAGAAATGTACCAACATATAGATACTTCTATAACTTTAAAATGTTTTTTTCTTTAGGAAATAGTTTCTTATTTTGTTCTTAAACTGAGCACTGAAGGAACAATTTTACTCAAAGTTACATAATATAGGAGGGAAATAGCAAAAAATAGAACCTATCACAATGATCCAGAGAATGTCATAAAAGGTAGCCTGCCCATCTATTGAGCACCTAGCTTTCTACAGCACGTGAGGCACTGCTGAGCAACATATACAATATATAAAATTTGAGGGTTTCTAATTTTTAATTTTTTTAAAGATTTATTTATTTTAGAGAGAGAGAGCGCGCATGAGCGCAAGCAGGGGGAGGGACAAAGGGAAAGGGGGAGGGAGAGAATCTCAAGCAGACTCCCTGCTGAGCATGGAGCATGATGCTGGGCTCAATCTCAAGACCCTGAAATCATAACCTGAGCTAAAATCAAGAGTCGAATACTCAAGTGACTGAACTACCCAAGTCCCAAGAATTTAAGGTATTTTCATTGAAAATACAGCATATGTAAAAAGGATTTGGGAATGTTTGAAAAGTAACATAATAAGAATATATTAATCAAATGCAAACTATAAATAACTGCTAAGGGGAAGTGGAAAATGAAGTGATTTAAAACTAGATTGATAACGGATAGAAGTTACTGGAATAGGCAAATTTTATATCAATTTTTTAAAGTGGTGATGGATTTTGATTGCCAGAGAGAAAAGATAACCATTCATTCACTTATCAAAGATTTATTGAGTGCTCACTATGTGCCATGTGCTAGACACTGTTCAAGGCACTAGAGATATGGTAATACACAAAACCATTGCAGAGCAGGAACAGATATTTCATTGCCCAGGAGGCATGATAATTTGATAGGAACAGAAAACACAAATGTGAGAGTAGAGAGAAATGAAATAGAAAGGAAAAGAACTAGTAATGGGCTTATAGTAGAAGGCCTTAAATACTAGGATGTTTCTAAATGGGAGAAAGATGTTTGGTGTGAATTGAACTTCTTTGGTCACTGCAGTCAGAATAGACTGCCTTTTTTTTCCCTTCCATCAGTTCTCCTAGCCTCTTAGATAACTTTATAGTAACCAGAATAAAACAAAATAAATACTGCATATAGAAAGATTCACAGCTGAAGTATGTGGAAAGCAAAAAGGAAAGAATAGGTAGCAAAAGTTGAATTTTATGTCTCCTTTTATCTTTCCAATGGCTATTATATATTATCAATCCCTTTCTAGCAGCAGTCTCCCATTCATTATTTGTGATTCAATTCCTGAAGGTTCTGCTCTTCTTCTTTGCTTCTAGGTAGAATCACTGAAAGGAAAGGAGATTCCATTTAAATTCCCTTTTTCGAGTCAATCCTGTTCCTTATTCACCTAGCAATACTTCTCTATAGAGTGTGTGATGAAAAGTATTTTATGTTTTGTGTGGGATGGTGGGGAAAGGGGTAAGACAAGATGGGCACTAAGGAGAATACCAAGAGGCTGTAATTCAATATATTATAAGAGCCTAGAATACAAACTTGACAATTAAGAGCTTGGATTAAATGGGCAGTTTAAAAAATGAAAAGAGACATATCTGAAGTATACAATAAAGAACAACTATAAAAAGTAACAAGTTTAACCCCTGTTTACCTATGGGAGGATAAGAAAATAAGGAAATGAATGTAAGTTTTTAAGCCAAGAAATTTGAAAGAAATAGCTTGAAGGAAAAAATGAACTTAATGTCAGATCTAAATGAGATGTCTCCAGAAGATAGAGGACTCAGACTTTCTTGATAAGCTACTGGACCTGTTGATGTACACATGTAAGTCGGCACCATATAGAAATTGATTGAAACTCTATGGACTAATGAGGAAATACAATGAAGATGATCAAATGGCTATGTATGAACTTTGACTGTAAGATTAGGTATCAATTTCAAAGAAGGTAATCTAGCTTTGGAACTCTTTCCTTCAGGTCAGACAAAGCTGTCCTTTATTAAACATCATCTCTTCATTTTGACTGAGCCCTTAGTAAGTGAGAATAACAAAATAAATGAATAAAATTGAAAGACTTATTTTTTTCTGGATTATCTCACTGGAAGTTCTGGATTTTTTTTTAAAAAAAAGATTTATTTAGGGGGGCGCCTGGGTGGCTCAGTTGGTTGGGCGACTGCCTTCGGCTCAGGTCATGATCCTGGAGTCCCGGGATCGAGTCCCGCATCGGGCTCCCTGCTTGGCAGGGAGTCTGCTTCTCCCTCTGACCCTCCTCCCTCTCATGCTCTCTGTCTCTCATTCTCTCTCTCTCAAATGAATGAATACAATCTTTAAAAAAAAAAAAAAAAAAAGATTTATTTAGGGCACCTGGGTGGCTCAGTCATTAAGCGTCTGCCTTCAGCTCAGGTCATGATCCCAGGGTCCTGGGATCAAGCCTCACATCGGGTTCCCCGCTCAGCGGGAAGCCTGCTTCTCCCTCTCCCACTCCCCTTGCTTGTGTTCCCTCTCTCGCTGTCTCTCTCTCTGTGTCAAATAAATAAATAAAATCTTTTTTAAAAATTTAAAAATTCAAAAAGATTTATTTATTTATTCATTTATTTATTTGAGAGAGCACATGTGCAAGCGGGGGCACAGGGGTGGGCAGAGGGAGAGAGAGAATCTCAAGCAGACTCCCTGCTGAGTGGCGAACCTGATGCAGGGCTCCATCTCAGGATCCCAAGATCATGACCTAAGACAAAACCAAGAGTCAGACACTTAACCAACTGATCCATCCAGGCACCCCTGAAAGTTTTGAATTTTTAACTGAATGTCCTCCTAGCCAATTTATACAAATTATGTGTCTTAAGATACAACAAGCAAAATAAATATCTGCAACTTTTCTTTGACTGTATACCTATATATAAAGGCTACGGCTTAAAAAATACAGAATATAAAATTTACATTAGCATAAGTCATTCAAATTATTTAGCTGTTAAATATGGAGTTTGTTTTATATAACACTGTCAGGGTGAACATGAATATCCATCCCTAAAGCAAATCTTGGTTGTGGAACCACAGAAATAGAAACTCACCTTTAAAGAAGGTTCAATTTTAAAATGCACTAGGCTACATGTTTCTTTAAATAGAAAAGGATCAATCTTGACACTCCCTGAACTAAGAGTTTTTAGAATCTATTTGATATTTTCTGTACACAGATTATATCATAAAATAATTTTAGCATTTTATCATTATCTAATATGGCTTTGGATTTCTATATTTATGTAGAAGTACCTTCAAAGTAGCTAGCAGTAGAACATTTATTAGAGTACTTTCTGTATGTTGGACACTATGTTAAGTGTTCCAATATTTACTATCTCATTTAGTTAACATTCACAACTCAATGAAGTATTACTAACCCATTTCACAGATGGGAAAACTGAGGCCCAAGTTAAATTATATCTCCAAGGTAACATAGCTGGTAAGTGGGCAGAGCTAGGATTTGAGTTCAGATCTGTCTGATTCCAATGCCACTTTTCTTAATGTCCTATTGCGTCCAAAATTCACCTAAAAACATTTTTATTATAAGAGTTTTATGTCTATTGAATTCTTTCAATATAATGGAATACTTTTTTTTGGCAATCTAGAAATGTTTCTGTGTTCTTGCTTACTCTCATGACTTTAACCAAGAAAATCTTCTTGGGTGCCACTTGAACCACATATCAAACTATA